CTGATTTTATTAAAATTAGGTGTACAAATCATACGTTTAGCTCTATCATGCAAAATCTTTTTATTATTACAAAATTGATTGAATTAGCTGTAAAAGTAACCCAAACATGTTATTGAACTATGTACAAGTAGTGAAAAATAAAATAAATAATTTCTATTATTTTCTAATATCGGCTATTATCTTTTTTTTCAAAAATAAATCTTCCTAAATGTCAATGATATCTGGTGGTGGTTGGGTGTCGAGGAGGAAATTAAATCTAAAGTGATTTTTTTGGGGTGCGTTTGTAAAGTGTGTGCGCAATGTTAGCTATCACTTTCTAAATACAAATCCTCTGCTCCATCCAATACTAAATTATCTGTWTTCTATCTGTGAATTACTACAGTTCTTGGTGAGTTATAGAGTAGAGTGAACGCACTTAATCCGCGCAACTGTACAAAATCTAATTAGTATTAATTTGTACTAAAAGTGGTAAAAATATGTACTAAAAGCAAGAAGGTATTGCGTGCTTCGTTTGATTTGTGTACCGCATGCACGATTTACTAAATACAACTAAAAAGCACTATTTAGTTTGTACAGTTGCACGGATTAAGTGTGTTCACTCTACAAATACTAAAAGCGTGCAAAATTTTACACTATCTATTCCAAAATAGTGCTAAYTAAACAATAGAAAACAATAAAATTAGCATAATCTAGCGGTATTTAGTCGTGGTATTTATATTGCACAGTTTTAGTGTTTGTACTCTATTGACTATTATACTAGCCCCCACGTGAACCCATGACATGTACCAGATGTACATGATAAAGTTTATGCGACTTGTCTCGACTACGTTGGCGTATCCTAGTNTTTCTTAAACTGGCATTCGGATACGATCGCGGATCGTGAAGTGGGTTGGTCAACACGTGCTCGTGTATATGTATAAATAAAGGAATGTACGTCAAAAAGTCTAGAAAGTCTAAATAAGTTGTCGGTCCCAGGCTGCGTAGRACRTGAKTCTTGGTGTTGGAGTCCAGACCCCCYACTGTGAGTTCAAGGGTTAGGTGTTCCATGGACATTTTYCCTGTATATTCGTCAGCRTAGCATTTGAACAGTGACTGCAAATTGGTAAAAAAAAATTTCACAACATTATAACAGTTAAAAAGTCAACAAATCCATCAATCAATCAGTCCGTCATCCAACCCATTTATCAATCAACTATCCAGTTAAACAGTCAAGCAAGATATCAATCAATCAACCAACTAAGACAATCAATAAATTAATCAATAAATCAATAATGCAATTATATAATAATAATGCATGCATAGAACTCACCCGTGCCCGTTGCAGTTTGTAGTCAAGTTCTCTAAAATCCAATTTTGATATCAAAATCTTGGCATAGTCACTGCAACAAAAAATAWTGTTTGCTTTGACTCAAAAAGTACCAATTACCAATTGTAAATTTTGGTGAKTTTTGGCACGAAACTTTGGAGTTTCATTTAGCACTGGTGGCCTTTWAGRAGAAATCGAAAAACATAATACAAGTATATACCTCTACTGTAAATAGATTTTCGCTTGTGGTAAGGATCTGGGTACGAGAATGGGAACGAAATTTCCCGCTAAATTGACTTACTCTAAAGCAGCAACCTTTTGTGAAAACGCAGCAATAACGGAGAAAAACTTGAAGTCAGCTCCACTATCCACACTACAGTCGCATAACTCGAGTACCTGGTAATAAACAAATTGACGAGAAATATTAATAAAGAATGAAGTTTTCCACACAATTATCCAAAATATTAGTGCCAAATGATAGTTCAAGGTAACTGGATACTGACGTGCTTTTTAAAGCACAAGGAAATCCAGCCTACTGTAGTCTCCTTTTGCAGAGGGCAAAAACGCGCATCAGTGGTCATCCCTCCCCGTCCCCCCAAACAAAATATTCCTATGAAATTCAAAGGATAAGACCGGCGGCCATGTTGGACGTTTGCGGAATGAACAATAGATACTATTAATGATAAATCCTTTGTCGAAGTTCCTTCAAGATGGCCGCTGTGACGTAAATAAGTGAAAACGAAGAATAAAGTGTTCATAGTTTTTGTGGGTAGCTTACTGAGCCACTTAGTCCGAGCACTTACCCGAAGTATATATTTAAGGTGAGAATCATTCAACAGATTTTTGTTGACGCATTCCAGAGCCTCCAGAATTTCCTCTGGGAAAAGAAATCCATCCTTATCCTCATCGATCTATAACACATCGGAAAATTCAGTTATTGAAATCAGTGCATATCGAGATATATCATTGTGTATATATATGTGGTCTGAGATGGTGTAATAGATGTAGTAAATGAATGATCTTATACCATTCATAAGTGAGATGGGATTTGAACCCACGACCTTCCGTATTCTAGTCGGATGCTCTATAACCACTGAGCTACTGGGACTCATATATCTACATATATCATTGTAATGTGAATACTCACACTTTCAAATATCCTGCGGTAGTAGCCGAGTTGACCTTCATTCATGATACAGTACTTGAAAATAAACGAATCTGAAATAAAAGAAATATTATCTATTAATACAATTATAGTTTTGGCGCATAGGTGTGCGGAGGCGAATTTATATTTTTGCATCAACAAAAGAATTATGTCCCGTTTTTCAACTGCGTGCGTGCGTGCACGCGCGTTTAAAATTTGTAATGCGAACGACTAACGAAATCGCCGCAGCCTTGATAGAATAGATTACATGTACGTTAAATTATTACATGTACGTTAAAGAGTAGTAAGATCAGAATTCCTGTACATTCTGATATTTAGTGCATGCGAAAAACTTATAGGTTCAACCTTCTTTGTTAAGGGTGCAGAAATTTTCAACAATACAAGGAGATAAAAGGAACCCGAGTCATATGAAAATAGGCGTGGCAGCATGAATTGTACATGTACCCCTAAATAATACCCGTTACTGAACTCGAGGGACTCTTTTATGTCAAAACGTTTCCTTCGATTCCAGCCGTGACGTTAACAAAACAAAACGCCCAGTAAGCTTGTATTGATGACACATTTTTCTGTTAAGCCACACTGAGCCAGTCAATCAGCAGACATCGATTGCTAATTTTATGGCATCATTGTACAAGAACCATTCATTTTACTTTGTGCTCATGCGCAATACCAACTCACCGTCATCATCATAAGAAAATCTCGAATCAATCGAAGGAGAACGTCGAATTTGAGACGTCTTTTTCTTWTCCAATTGTAGAAGCTTTTTCCTTCGTTCTTCGGCAAGCTGCTGTCGGAGGAGTTCGTCACGTATGCTGTTGTCGGCGCGCGCTCGGGAAAGCGTCGTATCCTTTTTCTTCAAAGACGGTTTGGTGGGAAACATGCTGACTCTTTCTTTCTTGACTGGTATCCGTACGTCGACTGTTGAAAAAATTATCATAAATTATCATAAATTAGTATTAAACGCTAATAATTAAAATGTCAAAGACAATAGTTTTTGTGTGAATGTAGCTTTAGAAACAGCATTTCGCCCAGAAAGCTAGGGATGTCCAGAATGGGCATCTGGGATTGATAGATCGCCGCACTGAGAAATTGCCGTGCGCATGCGCAGACATTGACCTACCAGGGGCTTTGGGTATTTCCGGTAAAGGAGGTGTTGGTATACGRAAAAAATCTTCTTCCGGTTCATCTTCTACTTCCGGTTCCTCCTCGTCATTCTCCTCTTCTGGTAAATCGTTCATGGCGCTTTCTATGGCCGGTAGTTTGACGTGTTTTTTCTTTGCTGGTTTCTTTTTCTTCTCCTTTTTAACGGGTTTGGGCTTCTTGTTCTTTCGTCTTACTTTAGGAGTTTGCTATTTGGTATTGAATTAACCAATCAATGAGTCGATCAATGAATCAGTCAATAATTCAAACAATAATCAGTAAATCAATCCATTAATATATCATCAATCAACCAATCAATCCATTCAGCTCGTTGATAGCCACTATTACCTACCTTAGACCCTTGGATGCTCAAGCAAGCCGAATTAAGTCTAACTTCACGTTCTATAAACGAATATAACACACACGCAACTATCAAAACAAGAATGAAAAGTAAATGTGTCACTGACGAATACGCGCACACAACTAGACATTGCAAATAAAACTTTGCAACCCTAGCTCCTTTTAGTCTGTTTAGTCGATAATTTCTTTTGAAATTGCTTTATATCTATTTCTAACATCAAGTACCTTCAATCTCCTCTTCAGAAAGAGGATCTGCGATCGATTTAATCGTCTCCTCTTCCCACCCCTCCAGGGAAGCCATTTGGTCAGGAGAGCATTTGAACCGTTCCAAGCCCTCTGATTCTTCTTCGACTTCTATGGGTGGAGTTAGGGGTCTGGTAACGGGTGTTGGTGGTTTTATATCTGGTGATGGTTCGGGTGCAGGGGGTAGGTCTTCTGGAGGTTCTGACATTGTCAAATCAGGACTGATTGATGGTTCGAATGGTTCAAGAGCGTCATCTTTTAAATAAAAACATATTTGTGTATTAGAGCGAGGTAAATGAACTACTTCGAAAGAAAACTGTCGATGGCGCTTTATAGAAAAATATAACAGTGATTTTGTTGGGACGAAAGTTTTTAAGCGCAAGCACAAGAATAATAAATATGAGTGTAAACCAAATACCAGCATCGAAGTGTCGATAAAAGGAAGCGCGCTATCAAGCGTTAAGAATGTGACGATTATGCTTACGATTGAGATAACGCCTGTTATCTCTTTGCAGTAAAACCGGGGCGCTTTGCACGAAGGTTGAACACCGCTTCAAAGCCGATAAAATCTTATCCACAGAGGATAAAATCAAAACACAATCAATGGGGAGTACAATTTTGTCCTTCTATTAACTTGCCCCAGGCATTACTGGATCCACTAGGCTTTTATTCTTACCAGGAAAAGCTCCAAAGACTTCTGTTCTCATAGCGATTCCATTACGCCACGTTTTAGGATAAAATCTGACATAACGAGATTCAACAGGCCTTGGTAAACTGTGTAGTACTACAGTATTGTTGTCCACATTGCCTTGAAACACCTGAAAAAACGATTATATGAAGTTGGTTTAGTTGTTTTGTTATAAAAATGTCACAGAAAAAAGATAAATTTTATTTTTTAACAAAGTATTCTCTAGTTCTCCATTTACCTTCTCCGTTCCTCCATGTTCGTATTTTTCCCATTTCTTCCCATCATTACTGAAACTGAGAGTGTATGACGTCACCCATCGAAGATCCTTCTTGGCAATGGTCTTGTCACCAGGGTAACCTTGCGTAGCAACCTTCAAACGACAATACATTTCTTATATAAATATGAGGACCGCATGGCACTATGATAAACATGA